CATTGAACCTTATGGGAAAATTTGATTCGGGTTGTGACCAATTCGGGTCGCGACCAGAGTCGCAGAACGAATTAAGTTCGTGAACCGAGGTACCACTGTATATTGTATTTATTTAATAATCTTGTGGTTTTGGTTTTGGTTTTTGTTTTACAAAAAATCCACTTTTGCATCTGCTCTGACAATTAAAGTTCTTACTGAAAAAGTGTTGTTTGTTTTTAAATTTTAGCCTGGAAGAGTTGTGACACTTATTGAAGATCCTGAGGTATAGTAGTTGCATTTTTACATGCTCTATAGGTATACTTTGTCCTCAATAGTAGTAGGAAACTACCTTCTTAACTCTGAAATACAGCGAAAGCTAGACTTTTAAACTGCAATCCTATACACATCTATTAGTGTGTAAATTCATATGGACACAGTGTAATTTACTGCAGAGTAAATATGAATAGGGTTTCAATTTTGTCATTTTTCCCCAAAGATATGAAGAAGGATCTTCAAAGTTATGATGTAGGAACAAGCTTGAGCCTAACATGTACCAAATTGACTTTTTCATGGGCAAATAAAACTGTTCCTATAGAGAAATGGCTAAAATAGTATACAGCTGTTTATAAACCATTCAGCTAAAGAAACTAGTTCCATTTCCCCGAAAAAGTCTCCTAATGTGCATGATACTGGTCTCAAACAAACTGATTCCTGTTCACCTTTGAGATCTCTTCTTTTTCTTTCTTTCCTGCTCTTTCTCCATTCAGCTTTTACTGAAGTGTGCATTAGGACTCCTGGAAAATAGCTGAGAATTAATGTGTATATATGGAAGTAAATCTAACAACTTGACACTGTCTGCCAAACAAACATGAGCTTCTTTCTCTATCTCCATCCCCCCCACCCCCCACAAATTATGTCGCAGTTACAAGGAATTGTATTGTAATTAGTGGTCCCATAATAGTTATTTTTATATTTGAACACAAGGATTCGATAATTCATCTCAGCAACTCCTTGTTCCCAATTTAGCTTGCCAAAGTATAGGTAGTCCTTGCTTAATGACCCTAATTGGGACCGGAACTTCCACCGCTAAGCAAAGCAGCCATTAGGCAAAGGATCACAAGACTGCACCACTTAGCAACAGCAGTTCCAGTAGTCCCAGTTCCAGTTGTTAGGCAAGGACCACACCATCATTAGGTGAGGATCTCACACTTCTCCTGCCCTGCTGGCTTGCCTCCCCTCAACTTCCCCCACCCACCCATCTCCCCCCAACTCTTCCCAAATACATCCTAATCCTCCTTTTAGAATTTAAGAAATAATCTGTGAAGCAAAAAAAAGGAAGATTTGGCTGTAACCTAAACTTATGCAATTAGAAGAAAGGCAGAAGGCTTTATAAACATAGGAGGCTACCCTTTTTATATTTATCAGACACAACTCTTCCAAAATCTCTTCCAAATAATTACTATTATTCTGTTTTCACCAATATATGTTTAATGCTTTGAATGAGTTCACACATAAAAATCACATTATGGCTTAGTACAGGGGTAAACCTAGCCGCTGTGGTATATGATTGTATAATAAATTGTATAGTTAGGCAGTGGAGTGTAGGGGGGCCAAAAGGGCAGAGATGGGTGGGAAGATAGGCAGGTAGGGGGAGTTGAAGCACACAGTGTGGTCGTAAATGCAGGCAGGCTATCAAGCACCTGAATTTTGATCATGTGATTGCGGGGGGGTGCTGCAATGGCCATAATTTCGAGGACTAACTACCATAAGTCCAAGCCATAACTACCATTCATTCAGTGCCGTCATAACTTCAAACGGTCACTGAACTAATGGTTGTTAAGCGAGGACTACCTGTAATGAGATCCTGGTATAAAAGGTAATTTGACTTCCAGGCAAGCTTATTATTAGTTTCACAGAGTGGATATGAAAAAAAAAATGAATAAGGAAAAATATATGCTCCTTATAATGTCTGGTTCTACCTGTGGATGCCTCCATGGTTGAAGAGAGCACTGATGAGACACATTGCAGACTACAAAATATGCAATCAGATAGCACTCTTAGAGACATCCTGTGCCAAATTCTCCCTCCCAGTGGCATTTCTTGCCAGTATACATACTTTCAGTATTTGTGTTGGATTCCACCATATGTGAGCAAGAAAGTAATATCCTGCTGAATGCTAAAGCAGATATTTACCCTTTATTAATAGTAAAGAAATTCAGTGTCCTGCCTCATAGAAACACAATTTTATTTAAAATATATTTGGTCAGTGTTATGTCATAAAATAAACTTTCAATAAGGAAATATACAAAACAATTAAACATTTAAAAAATTGTCTGCTCTCTGAAGTGCTGGTTCTTCAGGGCATATTCCATTATGTTTCTTTTAAAAAAAAAATTGAGACTCACAGTTCCAATGCGCTCCTTAGTATACTCTTTTGCCATTGTAATTTATCTCATACTTGCATGATTTCCTTGATCTTTTTACCCTATAGTTATTCATCTTCACATAATCTGTGGATTAGCCTAGTAATTTAACATGCTGTTGAAAATCACAATGTTTTTATTTTAAACCTCTTTGGAAGTTAATGTTCTATTTCTAGTACAAGGAAAGTAAACAACTGCTCCCTTCCTATGACCTGCTGTTAAATACTGCAACACTGATGCTAAAACTACAATTTTACACAGATAGGTACCACTAAACCTACTTATTTGAAGTAAACTTGCCTAGGATCAGAGAGTAAAAATGTGAGCCATGAGAATCTCAGTTCCATCCTCAAATCAGCTGCAAACTCATGGGTGAATTAAATTTTCAGCCTTGGGTTCTCAATCTCTTCTTTGAGGTCCATCTGAAGAGCAAAGGTAAAAACTTACAGTGTCTTATAGGATTATTGCAATGATTACTGAAAATACATGTGAAACATTCTGAAGTCAAAGATGTGAAATAAAACAAAATAAGCTAAGTTCATATTTCAATTATTTATCACCTTGATTTCGTCTAAATTAGGAATGTTCAGACTAAGGACCACTCTTGACTTATAGATGATATGCTAGGGACCCAGTATAAAAATTAAGCAAAGCCAGGATTAAAAAGTGACTGAGACCAAAATAAAAATTATTTTGCCATAGTTTAACTGTGATATAATGTAAATTATGTTAAATTAAATACAGTTTACTTATGATGCACTGAATAGTTTTTCTCCTAACGCCTTAAAAATTACAATTGGAGGCAAGTTTTGAAGGGATACGATGGCTGCATATAGCCCTGAAGCCTCAATTGTGCATGTTTTCTAAGTAGCATCAGTGATACTCCCCCAGTATTTATATGTTCTTGAGAATATATATGAATGTCATAAAAACAAGGTGGTTTGAACACCACTAACTTTCCTGTAATGCTGCCGAATTAATGGCAGCTACAGATTTCAACCTTTTGTACTTGACAAGATCAGCAAAATGCAACACAGTGTCTGTTACTGTACTTTTCTGGTAAGTTTTTTTCATACTGCTGTGCAGTTAGATCCTATTATGTTAGCAGACAGCTTCCTCTATAAGCAAAGAATACTTTAGCTTGGTTTTTTTCTCTTTCTTTCCCCAGCATTTGTATTATAAAATGAACTCCAATCATTGCAAACTAGCTATTTTAAATCAATACTCTGAGGTCATCCAGAATTACTAATATACAACTAATACTGTAGAAATTAGCAATATTTTTAGCATATTTCTATCAATATATCCTGCTAAATTAACAGTACGTGTTAGGTGAAGTACCTGCACAGAGAGTAGAAAGAGAGTTCTTAACCAGACTAAAACCATAGAAGAAAAACATGTTAAAGGGAGGAGAGCAGGTGAAGAATTGGAAACATGGGTTTGGGAACCTGCAGTTCCATCATTAATATCCTGTTTTCTAGTCTTTCTTTCATTAAAGAAGTTATGTGCATGCATTACTGACAAGAAAGGTTTGGAAGAGTAGAGATAAAGTAAACTTCTGAAAATCTTTATAGAGTCTCATCTTTGTATGTTTTACCTTTCTGATTGTATTCTTCTACAGGGCTGCGTATGGGGTGTTGCATACAAACTGCCAATAGGACAAGAAGTTGAAGTAAAAGCCTATCTTGACTTTCGAGAGAAGGGTGGATATAGGACTACAACTATTGTCTTCTATCCCAAAGATCCTGCAGTGGAACCTTTTAACGTGCTATTATATATTGGAACCTGTGAAAACCCTAACTACCTCGGACCAGCACCCCTAGAAGAAATTGCCAAACAGATTTTTAATGCAGTTGGTCCTAGTGGAAGAAATACAGAATACCTATTTGAACTTTGCAATTCCCTCAGGGATCTTGTACCAGAAGACGTAGATGAACATCTTTTTACTTTAGAGAAACTAGTAAAGAAACTATTGGAACAAGAGCAAAAAAAATCTGTATAACAGTTGCTTTGCAAACAGTTTCTTCACTATCAGAATAAGTTTATTCTGTTTATATTGTATATATAATTTGGAAATAATCCATCAAAATTTAAGAAATTAGTTTTTGTATTTCATTGAGGCACCACTGTCCTTGAGTGGTAGAGAATTATTTCTAAAATGATATTTTCAAAATTTTAAAGGAATTTTGAATTTTCATAAGATTTTAAGAATGCTTTTCTGTTCATTTCTCAAATTTGAATAACTTAGACCTGAAACTTAAGTTTGAAGGTTTAAGTAGCTTTCTTAGCTTTAAGTTATTAGATTTTGTTTTTCCTTTCTAAAAACAAGTTTTGAACTAGATTCTGCACTTAGATACGGATGCAATCCTATGCATAAAAGGAAGTTCCTTTCAAGAAATAAATGCATAGTATTGAGTGATGTGTGTTGACTTAAATGTCAATCATATTCCTTCAAAAATATTCCCAGTGGGATTTGTAGATTACAGCACTATGGGAGAAATCCTTTGTACTCTTGTTTAGGATTAAGTCCAACACTGTGCAAAGTAAATGTGTAGGATTACATTTTAAGTGCCAATTATACCTATGAAGGGCCTGGATTATTTGTATAACTATTTGAAATATTTTAGATACTGTATTGCTTATTATATATTATTTAGCATTTAATTTAACTCCCCCAAACTCAATGATTTTATATATTATTATTATTATTTGCCTATTGATAAGATGATCAAATAGTTATAAACGGAAGGAAACTACACTTTGCATTCATGGTCTCACTATCTTCAGAAGTGATGTATACTGGTACCACAAGGCTTTCTCTCATTTTTTGGAAAACAATTGTAATCAGGAAGACAACTTTAATCTACTTTGCACTTATCCCAGTAACTAGAGCTCTATATATTAAAACTCACAAAAACCAATTCTTCAACAATTACTATACCAAAATGGTGTAGTCACCAATATTTAATGCTGTAGTTTCACAACTTCTTGCTTCTGGTGGCTAAGAACACACAATAGAATGCTGAGCTACAAGAACATTTCTCCTTCAATATTTGTGTTTAGTGACAAACAACCCTTACTTTTCCTAAATTTCCATGCATTTATAAAGCTTTCATTATGAAGACAGCACTTTTCTCTGTAAACACTAATAAGAAAACTTTGGAAATATGTGGATTATGCAGCCCAGTCCATTTGAAAAGCAGAGGATGGCCATTAGCAAAAAAGAACACAATTTTTTTTACAATTTTTGATTGTAATTGATTTTGGCTCTCAAACAGAATGTTCAGAAACTCTTTTAATGAGGGATTAGAAAGGTGCCTCCTGCTGCAACAGAAAAACACTTGCATAGTGGTAGCTATTTCCATTTCTTCAAAGGTAAAAGGATGTTTGTTTCTATAAGGACTGGCAGAAGTCTGGCAAGCATCCAAATAAAGAGCAAATTCCCTTGTAAGCCAAACTTCCTCAGAAGTATTGGAACATGACTTGCAGCATAGGAAAGGTTTTTGAATGAAAGTTTACACTCCAAATTCCCAAGTCTCATTATCACCATTAATTAGCATAGTTCCAGTTGTACCTGGATAATGTATTATAATTAACATAATTATATTTCCTACTAACAAGAATTTGGAAAGCCTAGTTAGAATCTCTCACTGATATAATATTGCAATGATAAACTATGGTTAATGTCAGCAAATGAAGGAAAGTACATGAGCTCCAGTCCATTTTCAATCTCTTAAGGACAGATAAGAATGTTGTTATGTCTTCATTAGGCCCAGGACTTCAAAAGAGAACACTGTGGAATGCCTCTTTGATGGCTATAGCTCATCAGTAGACACGCTTAAAAAATCCAGTTGTGCATCTCTCTCCCATAGTGCTTTGAACTTGTTATTTGTTGAAGATTGTATTACATATACCTAAACCACCTGTCAAAATATTTTTGAAACCATGTAGAAACAGAGTCCAAATTAAAATTCACACCAGGTAAGCATAAGCTGTTGATTTAGCTTAAAATATCTCTCTTTTCAGGATACTATATTTAGAGTTCAAAGGCAAGTTGCACAGCAGATAGCTGGGACTTAACCTGAACAAACATTTTGGGACTTCTAAACTTTCTCAGCTTTCACTGAAATGGATATCTGCTGCGTTAACCTTTGGGGGATAAATGATGATCTCAGAACACAACAGAAAATGTTTTCATCCCAACTATGCATGTGCTTCTCACGGTTTTAGTTCTTTTCTTTAAACTTTCAACAAAAGCATAAACTGGTTCTGTGTTTGTCATTTTCATAATGAAACTTGTATGATTTTGCATTAGTAATACAACAATTATGGTTTAAGTCCATACATTGTTTCTCTCCCTCTGTTTATCAAATACTTGCAAATGTTATGCTGCACTGTTTGTCTATTTGAAGGTATCTGTATTCAACAAAGTGAGAAAACTAAGTCTGGATTTGGGAAGAGTCTTAATAAGGAGTTAATCAAAATATTAAACAATGAAAAGGAATTCTGATATGAACCATAAATGGTGTTTCCAGTTCACAGTAAAATAAACCACTTATAGGCTAAATATGAATAATTATTACATCATAATAAAAACATCTACATAGAAATAGGGTTTAGCTACCATAAAAGTCATTGGATTTTTTTACTACTGATTTTTAATTCAGATTATTTTATTGTAATTCAGTTACATTAACCAGAGTTCAGCAACTAGTAAATGAGTACTATATTACATATCTAAAGAAATGTTGGACTTTCATTTCTCAAGTAGAAACTCATGCTGCATGATAAACTTTTTAAAAATTAAGTGGGATTTTAGTAACAGTTTGTAATAAGTCATAGATTGCTGCTCTGGAAAAAAAAAAAACTACAGTTCCATTGGACATTCTGAAATCTTTGAATCCTAATCTTTGGATCCCAGTCATCAACACTAGAGATGCAGTATTGAGGTACTGTACAAATATGAAAAAGGTTATAAGTGAAATGTGGTGACCTTTAAACTTAAAATGAGAAGTGCATTAAAAAGCCAGTACCACTCTTAGGAGTTTATTTCATACTGCATCACAAGGTGGCTTGTTTTTACCAGAAAATAAATGGAACATTATTCTTTGCACTTCCATATTTTAAATGAGTTACATTAAGTGTATTTTATAGGGGTATAATTTTCTATGCAAAAAAATATTTTCCCAAAAGCTTGTAACAAGGAGAACAATTAGACACATCCCTACTACCTCTGCAGTATTTCTGAAAAAATCCTGATTAGAAGCAAAAAGATATCCATAGTAGATTTCTTTACAACTGTGTGTTTGATGTCATAGATATATTCCATGGAATGGGTATTTTCCCATTTCATACACTACAATATGAGCTGTTGTATTATATATTATTTTGTGCACATTGAACATGGTACAATAAAAAGTCACCACTACACTGGAAAAGTAAAAACGTTCCAACTTTAAACCAAATTTGACATCATTGCAAAAGTATAATTACAAAATCACATAAATGCATCTGCCATGTTACCGCAACTTAAAAGGAACAATGTTCGGAGTCAGTACTAGTCTCTGTTAATACATACTGAAGCATTAATAACTAGCATTTTGTCAGAAAGGTCCAACAGTGAAGTTATTGTGTTAGGGTTAATTCAAACCTGTTATAAAATAATAGTTTTCATGCTTGTATGAAGACGCCATCCAAAATTTGATACCAGAAAAAGAACTGTCAAATCAAATTAAGTAATATCATCTTAAGTACAATATTTTTCAATGAGGTTATGTACTAATTAAATCCTCAGGAATTATTTAAATGTGCATGCATTGCTCACAGATTTCCTACAATTATAAACTATCAAGTGAAAAGCAGCTCTAAGGCAACAATATTAGGCACACTTCTAAGTTAGTTGAGTAATATCTGTTGAATTAAATATTAATACCTGACGTTCCATATTTTTATGTATGAGTTGCAGTAGCTGTTCCCACTATGGTACTATTTATTACAAATACAGGTAATATGTAGATGAGATTATGCAGATTAGGAGGAAATGTATTTCCATCTATAATTTTACTGCATTAAACATTTAATAATATACACTACTATAAAAAGAGACATTTTATTAATGTGATATCTCATTAGAGTAACAGGCCTAACAGCCATAGTTGCCTTCTTTGACCCGATATCCTTCCAAGATGTGTGGGGACTACAACTCCTACATAGCCATGCTGATTAATAATTATAATCCAGAGAGTACCAAGTTATGGAAGTGGTATGCATTTTCTCTGCAATAATTACCTCCCTTGACACATACATACATATTATAAATTAACAGTAACTTCTAACATCACAAGCAGACAAGAAAGCCCAGATAATAGCTTCAATTAACAGAGTAAGAGTTTTCTTGCATTATTATATTTTCTTAATCAGGAAAGGCAAACTAATGAGCTACAATTCCCTCCCGTTTTTTTTTTCCAGCCCTTATCAACCCATCTAATTAAATGGTTGGATTTCAATGGTATTGTGTGGTGGGAACAGGCAAAATAGGCATTATTTGCCTATTAAAATGGGCATTACCAAAGTCTTCACATGGCAAAACAGAAAACTCCAGCTAGCCCTGCATACTTTTGAGTCTCCCTGAAATCTACTGTAGGTACCTGAAGTAACCTGGAGGTCAGTCAAGTCCTTCTTTTATAATAGGGTTAGGTTTTGTTCTGGCTCTTGTTTATTTGCTCTTGGCAGTGCAAACTATGTGCATTTTTGTTATTATGTGTACTGTTTTAATCTCATTACTAGAAATTGGGAATTTAAACCGCTGAGAATAAACCATGATTGAAGCGATCTATTAATGTAAGAAAAATAAGGTCTGCAACCCTGAGATTTCCTGGTGGCGGTCTCCCATCTATGAACTAACCCACAGCGACCCAGCTTAACTTCTGAGGCAGACTCGGTCAGTTGCCGACAATATAAGAGCCACTTCCTCGTGAGATGGGCGGTGTCTAAATTCGAAATATAAACAAACAAACAAACCGAATATATCATGTCTATGTGCTTAATCCATTATCTCTTGCTGCTATGCTGCAAGAAGAGACAGTATCTTTATTCCGTTTCCCACCGAGGGAGCCCGGCAGTCTCCTCAAAACCATGGATTTCTCGGACGTTACTTTTCAAAAGGCATAAAAGAGGAGCCAGTTTTCACCGGACCTTCCGGAAGAAAACGGTCCCGCAGAGAAAGTACCATGTCACTCCCTTCCCCGTCTCGGAAGCGTCTTACCATCTTTCGTCTCCTCAGGCAACGCGCTCCGCCTGGCCCGGATGTTGACCAGAGGCCGGGACCCGCGGGAGGAAAATTCATAGACCACCGCAGAGTGTAGAGTCACACACAGCCTGCGCTTACGTTAGGCTATAGAGACTATCAGTAGACTCAACAACGTCCTGTGGCATCCTGTTATACCAGTGTTGTTACATATTGTTGCCAAATGGTTATATGAGCGAGTGATATTGTGAGAATCTTAGAAAGAAAGATTCTGAAATATATTGAAAGCAGTATACTTCAATGAAAAGCTCGCTTTGAAGGTCAGAATGCCATTAATGCCTGTGACACGGAGTGATCTCAGAAATCGAAAGAATTAGCTTGAGGCGTTAGAAATTAATGTTCTCTATATTATATTTCGACAATACCATGTGTGGGAAGTCTACTCTTATTTTCAATCTTCATGGACAACCGAAACAAAGAAGAAGTAAACCCACGGCCAGCGGAAACCAAGCGCAGCTGATCGTAACTCTAGGATTTCAGTGGACAGGAAGTCACGTGGCTTCCTCCTCCGGAAGTAGACGTGGCCGGCTTCTTTGGGCGTGTGGTGATTGGTGGTTGCCGGCCGTCTCGGACGGGCTCCCGCAAAGAATGAAGCGGAGAAAGCCGGAGCTCCGGAGAGGGGCTGTGCTAGTGCGCCTGTTGCTGTGGGGGCTCCTGGAAACGAAGGCGGCCATGGGCGGCGGCGGCGGCAGGTCGCTCCCGCAGTTTAGCGACGACGTGCCTTTCCGAGTAAACTGGCCGGGCAAAGAATTCATCCTGGTGGGTGGCTGGCTGGCTGGCGAAGGGAGTTTTAAACGAGGAGGAATAGAGGGACCCGGTGAGGAAAGTGGCGATTGGTGGGGAGAAGGGCCGTGGTATGGGAAGCCCGGCGAAGCAGGCCGGGCCGGGACTCGCCTCTTCGCAGGTGCTGCCGGATCTGAAGTGCAGAAATACGGATGACCGCCAGGTTGTAGCAAAGAGATACCACAGCTTTAAATCTTAGCTGTTCCCTTGTGGTAGTTTTCCACTTCAGATGTGGTAGTTGTAGATTTTTGCGATTTTTAACGTGACGAAGTGACCTGAGAAGCCGAAACGTTGCTAGCTAGTTGGTGACATTGGTTGGTTCTAGGGTCTTACTCGACTGTGGCCTTTTTTCCTTTTGCTAATGAGCCAATATGGCTGGGCTGTCTTTCCTTTTTAAAAGGAACATTGGTTGATCTGTCCGTGGTTGCTAGATGCGGTACCTAAGTGGAGCCTTTGCGTTCCAAGGCAGTTTCTCACACTGAAGGTGAGTTTATTGTCTTCTTGTACTGCGAGTTACTCAGAGTCGTCTGACTGGTTACTGTTATGGACACTGTATACCACTCGCTACTAAACATCCTCTACAGAGCACTGAATGAAATTGGATCTCTAGTATGATCCAGCAGGGTTGCTCTTAACCCTTGAAGTTGCTATGTATTCTGCCAAAAGTTCTACCAATAAAAGTCAAATTGTCCCTCCTGCACCCTCCTCCCCCAACTGGCATGGTTGAATATGAGAAGCAAATCTGAAAGAAGTGCTTGAGTTGAAGAAAACGGTTAGACCTTAGGTATGCTTTGGATTTTCACAGCTCTGGAAACAGCAGCACAATGGGAAGTTACTGTGATCAGGGAATGGAGGGCTGTGTTTAGATGATAACAACGGAAGCATGAGTTCATATTCCGTCTCTTTTCTCTGCTCATTTACCTTAACCCAGATCACTGTGTTTCAGTTTGTACCATGGCAACAGCATGGATTTTAGTGTTAGAATGGTGATATACCATCATGAATTTATCATAGGCTAATGATTTGAAGGAGTAATTGGGCAAAATAAAATATACATTAAATTCAGAAATTTCTATTTCTGATATTATTAGAGTTTCTAATAAAATAAATATTGGGTACCAGTTACATGTATGATCATTGAATCTTTTTCCAATTGATTTTGATCAGCCAATTGTAAGTAACATTTTCCCTTGATATCAGTGGAACCTAACTATGACTAAGTTTCTCATGTTTGTAGGATCATGCTTATTCCCCCTTAAGGATTTCATTCACTTACAGTATTTTGATAGTGTAAAAGTGAGTTGCATGTTTCTAACTCTGCTAAGGCTATGCATTGCTTCAGATCTGACTCAGAAGAGATGCTTCCAAATGTCAAGGAGCACAAATGTACCACCTGTCTGCAACTCATCACAGCTGCTGCATTCTGGAAACAGATGTGTTAATGTGTCCTAATTTTGCATTCCTGTTCTTTCATGTTCCAAAAGATCTCTTCTGAATCAAAACTGAAATATTGTATAGCTAAAATTGGCCTTTTGGATAACCACAGAATATAAATGTTAGCAGGTGGTTGAAAATGTGTCATAGGGCAGTTTGCATGTTGGTTTTGACAAGCTGCTTGTGCTTTGAAGGAATTGTTTTCCCTGGGTGGCAAGTTTCATTGTGAGTAGGATAATTTAATTTGACAGCCCAGAAACAATAACGTTTTTCAGATAAACAGTGTGGTAGAAAGAAATGACAACTGCTAATTGATTGTCAGAGATAGATTAGAAAAAGAAATGCAAGTCACTGAGGAAATAACAATGATTTGGTAAATCAAAACTAGTTCAAAAAGTCATCTGAAGCTAAAGTTCAACATTATTTCCTCTTTAGCCATTTACTTTAGACTTAGCTTGTTGAACATGGGTGCTCTCCTGATGTATGGAGCAACTTCCACAATTCTCAGCTAATGTGGCCATTACTGAGAAGTCTATATACCTAGAGCAGTGTTTTTCAACCTTGGCAGCTTGAAGATGTGTGGACTTCAACTCCCAGAATTCCCGAGCCAGCATGGGGTGGAGAAACACTGTATTTTGACTGATTATGTGCCATCAAGTGTCGACTCTTAGCAACCACATAGATTGACTTTCTCCATTATGATCTGTCCCTAACTTGGTCTTTCAGGTCTTCCAACAGTGTACCCATCGCCACTGTAACTGAGTCCATCTACCTTGCTGCTAGCCATCCTCTTTTTCTCTTCCGTTCCACCTTTCCCAACATTAGAGCCTTCTCCAGAAAGTTAGGTCTTCACATAATGTGTCCAAAGTAGGATAATTTGAGCCTGGCCATTTGTGCCTTAAGTGTGAACTCCAGGTTGATTTGTTCAATGATCTGTTTGTTTGTTTTCTTGGCTGTCCATAGTATTCTCAGGTGTTTTCTCCAAAACCAAAGTTCGAAAGTGTCATTACTTTTTTATCTGCTTCTTCAACTTTCACTTCCATAGGGTGTTACAGAGAATACCATTACTTGCACTGTTCTGATCTTTGTAGGTATAGACACATCACGACATCTGAATATCTTTTTCAAGGCCTTCATAGCTGCTCTACCAAGTGCTAGTTTGTGGCATATTTCTTCACTGCTTATTCCTTTACTGATGATGGTTGATCCTAAAAGGCAGAAGAAACACTGCATTAAACTATGAGTATTGTTTAAATAGTTTTTGTTACTCATAGAGAATAAAATGGATTATTGACTATATCAGTTTGTAATGTATGAGCTCAGGACTAAAAATAAATGGATTTCATTTTTTTAGAGCAGAATTATGTTTTCCACAACTGGAAAGATAAGTGCCACTCAAGTCACCTATTTCTAAAAATGTTGTCTGTCAAGGCCTATGATTATCCTCATAGATTCTGCCTTGTTGCAGTGCTAAATTGCTAGAGGGCATGTTGTATACATAGAAACAAGGCTATGGAGAAAACAATTCTGCAAAGAATACAGTAAGAGCAAACACAATGTACCACTTACGTGGGTAGGCTGCAGATTAATAAAAATAACCCAGGCTCAGCTGTCCTCTGTAGAAAGGACTGTCTGAAACCCCAGAGAATTATGTTTGATCAGTGTTGAACATACTGAGATATGTGGACCAATTACTAATTACTGTATAAGGTAGTTTCCTGTGTTGTTACGAGCAGCAATCATGCCTGCTTTCAGGCTGTGTGAATTGATGACTGATACTCTGTGCAGTTGAGAGCATACCATGCAAATGTTATTCAAGCACTGAAACTTTTTTTTTTTGCAAAAGCCTGTTTTTGTAATTGTTATGAAATTTGTAAATAATCATTTTTCTTGTGCAGTTGGGAAAAGTGCCCTTTTAATTTCTCTAGTTATAGAGTAGAAAGGGAGCTTTCTTTAAAATTTCATTTGCCAACATGACATTGCTGGCAGCTTATCAAATGGCTTATTTAACAATGATGTTTGCTGCAGCTCTAAGAATAGACTCAGTACTGTACATTATTTGGAGTAGCAAGTCAGCAAATTTATCTAACAAGGACCTGCTTCTTAGTAATGTTTGTTTCTGTGTTTCTTCTCCTTAAGCCTACTGCTGGGGTTCTGTACAAAGAAGATTATTACATCATTATGACAACAGCAGATAAAGAAAAATACAAGTGCATTCTTCCAGTGTTAGCTAATGGAGATGAGGCAAGTTATTCTACACCAATTATTTCATTATAGAAACTACCAAAAAGTGTTATATAAAATATTTAAGATGCACAAAAGGGATTACATCCAATCAAATACTTTTTTTTAAGTTGCTGTGAATTGTTAGCATGACAGGGACATGACTTTTGACATAGTTGTAATGGGACGTGGCAAGACATCTTGTGTTAAACATCAATTAAAGATGCAGTATAAAATGCATTTTAACTTGTTGAATCTGAGCTTTGAAACCTTGTACCCATTAAGATCTTAAGAGCCATCTATACTCTAAATTCTCTTCGAGAATTATTTCATTTGTAGTATAAAGTATTCTTATTATTTAATTGGCTCAATAAATTGGTTAAAAAGAATGGGTCATATCTGTTACTAGCATGTTTATATTTACAATAGGCTACCAAGAAATTATCAGTAAAATCCTTGGACACAAGAGAAATATTATGCTAATAATTTTATCTAGATGTTTGGCTTTTTTAACACTCTGATATTAGGAAATAACATTGTTTTTTATATACTGTCCAGAGTACTGACCCTATAAGGTAATTTTACATATTGTTCTTTGTACAGAAGCTGTATAAAATAGTTTGTAAAGTCTGTAATGAATATTCTCATGTTTAAGTTTCAGATGTTTTTTAATAATTTCTGAATAGTCTGACATTAATATCTGTTATTAAACTGTTTTTATTTAAGATTATATTTAACATACTGTTTTTATTTCATGAATCTTGTTTGTTATTTGTAATACAACAAAAATGTATTTGAGTTTATTAGTAAAATGGTTCTTCCTGAACAGCATCCCAGATGTTGTTCAATTACAACTCCTGGTGATCTCACCCTGTATAGTCATTGATGACAAATGTTGATAGTAATAATTGAGTAACATCTGGAAAGCCACACACTCACTACTCTTAAATAGCAAATCCTAAAGTACAGGTATCTTATTTCTTTATTTGTCAAAATTTCTAGGCTACCCAATTCTAGTACAACTGGGTGGCTTCACAACATTAAAAAACTATTATATTAAAAAGGCAACACTCATGTAAAAGAACAGTATAACTTTATTCAACATCACCCCCCAACTTAAAGGGGACCACCAAAACATCCTAGCCCAAGGCCTGGGGAAAAAGCTACGCTTATAAGAAACGCTTAAAGGCAAGCATGGTGGGAGCCAGATGAATCTCCAGGGGATGCTGTTCCAAAGGGTAGTGCTACAACAGAGAAAGCCCACTTCCTGGGTCCTGCTAGATGACATTTTTTAATCAATGGGACCCAAAGCAAGCCACTTCTGTCAAAATGCATCAGATGGGCAGACACCACAGAGGACAGAGGATCCCTCAGATAGTCCCTGTGCCATGTATGGCTTTATAGGTAATGACCAGCACTTTCAATGGCACCAAAAAGCCCACTGGCAACAAGTATAGCTCAAGTAGCAGGGGTATCCCATGGCTATTGCACAGTTTGCCCATTACTGCTCATGCCACTGCTTTCTCATCCAGCTGTATCTTTTAGGTAGTCTTCAAGGGCAGCTCCATGTGGAGCACATTGCAATAGTCCACCTGCGACCAAGGCATGAGTGACTTTGAGGAATGTATCTCAGTCTAGGAATGGGTGTAAATAGTGCAGAAGTTGAACCTGTGCCAAGGCCTTCCTGGCCACAGCTGCTGCCTGCTCTACAAGCAGGAACTAAGAGGAAGATCTCCAGCTTGTGCACCAGTCCCAAATGGGCAGTGCAACTTTGTTCAGGAATAGACATAGAAAGCCCCCAGTACCAGGAGTATCAAGCACCCATAGCCACTCAATCCTGCTAGAATTAAGCTTGAGCCTGTTCCTACCCATCCAGATCCCAACAGCCTCCAGCCATTGGGATAAGACCTTGACAGCATCCCCTGGTCCACCACCACCAGTTTAATATAAAACTGAATATCATCTGCATAGTGATGATTCCTGATCCCAAACTGACAAATGGCCTCCCCCAGAAGCCTCATGTAGATGTTAAGCAGAAGGGGCAAATATGTAGAGCCCTGAAGCACCCCACAGAGCAGAGGGTTTGATCTCTTCTCCCCACCAAAAACAGCTGAAACCAACTGCAGACAAAGGAGAAGAACCACTGTAACACTATGTCCCCTACTCCTGCTTCCTAAAGCCAGTCTTGAAGGAAGCTATTGCTGATGGTATCAAAAGCTGCTGAGAAATATAAGGCCAGGACAGTTGCACTACTCCCATCCCAGGTCCTCAATAGGTTATGGACAAGTGTCTCAGTACTATGTCTAGATATGAAACCTGATTGAAAAGAGTTCAAATAATATGTTTTTTCCAGTGTCTTCTGTCACTGCAACCCAACCACCTTCTCAACAGCCCCCTCCAAAAAAATGAGGTTGGAGACTGGACAAAAATTGTCCAGGACAGTTCAGCTCCAGTGATGGCCTCTTGAGGAGGGGTACATCACTGTCTCTTTCAAAGGTGGTGGAACCACACCCTTTTTCAAAGAGGACACCTTCACATGCCACCTCTTGAGCAGCCCTTGCAAGCCAAGAGGGACAAAATCTAACAAACAAGTGGCTGGGTTTACAGTCTTAAAGATCCTGTCCACTTCCTCAGGAGTTACAGAATCAAATTTCTCTAGATAACCAAGCAGGGCTCTGTCTCTGTCACTTCAATTGGACTAGCCCAATCAAAGTCCAACTCAGAATCTGAGCAACATTGTCCACTAGATGTCTGGAATATTCTTCACAGTGCCCAAAAAGATAGTCCTGAGGTTTATCCCTTCCAACAAGGGGCAAGTCACTTGAAAAAGGTGCTGCTTGACTGTCAGCCAATGCTATAAGAATGGAAAAATAAGTACATTTCAGTATTCTTATCACATTGATCTAATTCCTAGTGCAGGATTTTACATTTCCTCTGTTGGACTCCTCTTAGTCTTCCTCCAAAAGCACTCTTTGTGTGTCTTCAGATATTTCATCTCCTAGAGGTTCTCAGAAAACCAATGATCCCCCCAGGATTGTCGTAGAGCAAGAGGCTACATAGGAACAAACTGATCCAAGGCTGTCATTACCTGCCCCTTCCAGACAGAAACTAAAGCCTCAGATGAATAGCCCACCAGATCCTCAGGAAAAGATCCCAAGAGCTCTCTAAAACCCTTCTAGGTCCATCAGGCAACTGGGATGGATTGATCTAATGTCAGCAAGTAGCCATTTATTAGCACAAATGGTTTTAAATATATTAGAGAGGAAAATGAGAGAAAACCTATGGAGGGCCAGGAGGTAAGAAGAAAAGATAGTCGCAAAAGGCATGTATTAACTTAGTAAATATTTATACTATAAAAATATCCTGCAAGATTCATAAGCAGTTTAATTCAGGGAAGGTATGGCTGCTATTTGCATGGAAAAGATATTCATAAATTCCTCTTCAGGTGGTTTTGTGGTTCTTTGGATCCTGTTCAATTTCTTTCATAATTTTTGAGAAAGTCTCTGGGATTCTGTTGCATGGATAATATGAGAACAAGTACTAACTGATAAATGTAAAATCTGGTCTGTGTTTATTCCTTGTGTTTCAGTTCTTGATTTGTTTTCCAGTAATTTGTTTTTTGTATTAATTTTTAGCAATGTAATAGAATAAATATATACATATACAATTCATAAATTTGCTAACATTTTGAGTTTATTCAGGACAATAATACTATCCAATTATTCTTATTTTAGGAGGAGGAAAAGGATTATAAAGGACCAAGCCCAGCTGAATTGTTGGAACCTCTGTTTAAGCAAAGTAGCTGTTCTTATAGAGTATGTTTACTTTGGTCTAAGATTGTTGTTGTTTAGTCGTTAAGTCATGTCCGACTCTTCGTGACCCCATGAACCATAT